CAGACTATGAAAACTAACAGCCACATATGACATAAAGGCTTTCCCGATTGTCCCACCCCGTTTAAAGCAGCTACTCTGCCCACACAAGGTTGGGTAAGGGTTAATCTGCCTTCCACCTGAGTGCGGATTAGGGAGAAGGCTCACACAAGAGGAGGTCAGCGTCAGAAAATATTTTCTGAGTCACAGGGAGGCTCACTCTGGCCGCCCACTTCAGCTACTACTCATCGCCCTGCATAAAGGGCATGACTGCTCAGAGGGCATTCATCAGAGAATCGTGGGCTCCCCAGAGGAAGCTGTAGGCGGGGACAGTCACGCTGGGGCTGCTCCCCCGCCCACAGGCTTAATAAGTCATGGAGGGGATGGACCACTCCACCCGCCCTCCCTCGCAAGGTTCTTGCCCTGCTGCCAGAGAGCCAAAAATACCACCACCTCCCTTCCAGTTGAGACCCGGTTTTCCCACCAAAAGCAGGGCCACGGTGAGCTGCAGGCAGGTATCCTAGAACTTGAAGTCATGGAAGGAGCAGAACTCAGCCTGCCCCCCTCCTCCTATTTGTCAATTTCCCAAAAACTCTATTTCTGCCTATTTGTCAATTTCCCCAAAAGCCTGTTTCTGACTGTAGGCATTTCCCAGTGTGGGTGGTTGTGGCTGTCCCTACTTCCTCCTACAGACGCCCCCACCTCCAAGAAACCACCCATACCTTCCCCAGGGCAAAACCAGGAGCCCCTCCCTCCAGGACCACCTCAGCTGACAGCCATCTCTGCGGTGGCAGCGTAACTGTCGAACTTTTGTGTTTATAGATCACCTACTTCCCTACATTTATAAGTTTCCTGGGGATGGGAATACCATCTACTGCCCTCTGCATCCGCAGGGACACTAAGTATCCGGTAGGTGCCAGGCAGAAAGAATGGATCCATGAACAAACAGGCCCCGTCATTTCACACAGGCAGTCAAATGATAATCCGATCTTTCGAAAAGTTAACTTATGAAGCTGTCCGTTTTCTTAACGTGTTCATCACTGAATCGTCACAAAACGAAGCCTTCTAAAAGGACTGCCCCTCCCTCTTCATGAGAAAGCAAACTTCCTCCTCAGCAGGGATACAGAAAATTAACAGACTTCGCTACAAGGCTGTAGCAAGAGCGTTGCTTGCCACTGCAGGGAGCTGAAGACTTTGCGGGGCCCACCTGCCCACTGGCCTGGCAGCGGACAGCCACACCAGGAAAAGGCCTGTGACACCAGGCAGAGTGCCCGGCCAGCCAGGCAGCACGATGCCCTCCCCTGCCAACCGGGGGGCCTGGCCGGTGAGGGAAAGACACTCTGTAGTTCAGAACCACCGACCCCTAGAAAGCCAGGTCCCAGCAGGTCCAACACAGAAGGCCTCATTTACAACAGGCACGAACCGCCGCAGCCTTGCTCTGCTCCAAGTTAAAAACGGTGATGATGGATGGGGATGATGCGGCTGCCTGGATGAACTTTCACCAGGGTATCCAGAGCCTGGACAGTGGGTCCCAGGGCGTTTCTTCACCCTCCCAGGACTCCGCAACGCCGATGGGGGGGGGGGATGCACAAATGTCGCACGCAGCGGCACAGGCCTCACCGCCCTGCCCTCCTCCTGAACGCTTCCCAACACGGAAAGTCAAGTTCATGCAGAAACCTGCCTCCACATGCTCGTAGCAGCTTTATCCCTAACCACCACCCCCTGCCTGGAAGCATCCCGCGCGCGCTGCGGCCCTACACCACTGGCCAGCACAACATGGCAATGAAAAGGTGGGGGACTGGACACGGCCTTCCCATACCCACGGCAACACGGCTCTGCGCAGCCGAAGCAGCCAGAATCAAGGGCTGCCAGCTGCCGATTCCGTTTATCTGACTTTCTGGAAAAGGCATAGGGACAGAGCAAAGAGGTGAGCTAGCTGGCGGCAAGGGGCGGCCGGCCGGCCTCTGCTGTCTGCTGGGGATGGTGCATCTGTCAAGACTCCCAGAGCCGCGCCGGGCTAAAGAGCGACCGTGCTGCGTGCGAGCTGAGGACGGAAAAAAAAAAAAAAATGATGATGATGATGATGATGATGATGATGATGATGATAATTCGATTTTAAAGAATGCGCCGGCCGGCCAACGGGCGCGTGCGAGCGCGGTCGCGGTCGCGGTCGCAGGGCGGAGCGGCGGGGGCCGGTGGGACGGTTGGAGTCTTGAAGGTTCTCCCCAGTTTCGTCACCTCGGACGTCGGTCTTCCCGCCTTGCGCCGTGCTCGGGCGGCCGGACGGACGGACACGCGCGCGCACACGCACGGACAGACGGACACACGGGCGCTGCCCGCCGGAAAAGCCAGGGCCCGGGCTCGACCGCGCCTGCGGCCGCAGGATGAGCGAAAACAGAGAAACTCCGGGGCGCGCGCGGCGGGCTGGAAGCCGCGAAACCCCGCGGCGGCGGAGGGCGGGGGCCGCCGACCCCGCCCCCGGCCGCCACCGCTGCCCAAAACCTGACACCCCCGGGGCGCGCGAGGGGCGCGGCGCGCGGGCTCCCCCGCCGGGACCCCCGGAGGCCCCGGCCCGGCCCGCCCCGCCCCCCCCCCCCGCGGGTCCCCGGCCCCGCAGCCCGGCGCCCCCCGCCCCGCCCCGCCCCCGCCCCGCAAACGGCCCTCGGGCGGGGGCTCCGCGGGACCCGGCGGGGGCGGCACTCACGTAGACCGGCAGCGGCCACGGGTAGACGGCGGGCTCGGCCCCCACGGGCGACTTGAGCCTCAGCTCCAGCTTCTCCCCCATGTCGGCGCGCGCGGCCGCCGCACCATGCTAGTCGGGCGGCTGGGGGAGGGGCGCGGCGCCGCCGGCGGGGGGCGGGGCGGCGGGCGGAGGAGGGCGGGCGGCGCGCGGGAGGGCGGGAGGCTGAGGGGAGGGGGCTGGCCTGGGCCTCGGCCGCGCCGCCGCCGCCGCCGCCGCCGCCGCCGCCGCGCTCCCGTCCGGCCCCCGGCTCCTCTTTGTGGTCACAGGCCCGGGGCCTCCAGCGCCGCCGCCATCTTGGGCCGGCGTGAGGCGAGCACAATGAGCCGGGGGCCGGGCCGAACCATTCGCCGCGCGCGCGCGGGGGGGGGCCGGCGCGAGGAGGCGGCGCGCGCCCGCTGCCCCGCCCGCCGCGCCGCGCGCGCCCCCCCCGCCGCCCGCCCCGTGGGCTCGCCCGCCCGCACGCACGCACGCACGCACGTCCTCGGCTGCCCTCGGCCGCCCCCGCCGGCCCGACGCGGGGACCCGGGGAGACCCCGCGGGCCGGGGATGACAGGTTCGAGCCCCGCCCCGGAGGAGCGGGGGCCCCTCCCTCCCTCCCTCCCTCCGTCCGCACGCCCAGGGCCGCCGCGACTCCCGCCGAGCCGGGACGCCCGCCGCGCGCGCTGGACGGAGGAGCGTGTGCGGGGGGCGCCGGGGAGCCGCTCGCTCGGTGCGGCGGCCTCCAGGCCCTGGCTGCGGCGTCGGCTCTTCCCTGCGGACTTGCTGGCTCGACGTTAACACGACTCAAGTCCCTAAAACAGCAGTATGTGCGGGTGTATAGTACGGAGCTGTGCGTTTGTGCGTGGGCGCCCATGCGCGGGGCAGGTGTCTGCTCACAGGCGTGTGCACGTCGTGCCCGTGTGTACCTGTGTTATCCGTGCGAGCCATGCGTGCACACCTGTGTATGCACCTGCGTGCCGCGCATGCCTGTGCCTGTTGTGCACGTGTGCGTATGTCTGCACATGTGCATTGCATGTTTTTTTTTTAATTTTATTTATTTATTTATGACAGTCACAGAGAGAGAGAGAGAGGCAGAGACACAGGCAGAGGGAGAAGCAGGCTCCATGCACCGGGAGCCTGACGTGGGATTCGATCCCGGGTCTCCAGGATCGCGCCCTGGGCCAAAGGCAGGCGCCAAACCCCTGCGCCACCCAGGGATCCCCGCATTGCATGTTTTATGCGTGTAGGTGTATTGCACGTGTATACAGGCCGTATGCACACCTATACGTCTTTGTGTGTGTGTGTAGACGTGCACACACAGACCTTCTACGGATTCTCGCGTGTCTGGAGAACCCTGATACGCCTGTTATAACGGAGCCCCCGCTATGTGTCAGCAAGGGAGCCACACGCACCTGCCCTTTCGGTACCTCCCTGAGGTGTCCCAGCTTCCCAGGAGCGCAGGTGACGGTGTCCGTTCTGGCCAGGTGAGGAGCCTGAGGCGCAGTGACCTGCCCAAGGTCAGGCAGGTGGAAGGTAGAGCTCTGACAGCGCCGCAGTACCGCAGTGGCCGCCCGATGCAGAGGGAAAGAGGCGAGGTCAGAAAGACCAGCTGCAGTAGCTTCCATTCATTGGAAGCTCTAGACCAAGGCCAGGTAACCGAGAGCATTAGAAGTCAGGACAGTGGTTACCCCAGGGGTCAGAGGGGTTACGAAGGGACATTCACCTGTGAGAAGGTATCTGTCATGCACTCTCTGTAGGTCTGTCATATCAGTAAAAACCTTTCTAAAAACAGCCCTGGTTGCTCTGCAGAGAATGAGTCCGGAGGTTTGGGTGGGGCGGTAAGGGAAGAAGCAGGAAGAGGAGCGAGGGGGCCAGACGGTTACCCAGGTGACAGGGAGGGAGGGCTCCGGAGAGGGACAAACCGCCCATGGATCACACAGCCAACCTGAACTTTGTGAGCTCAGGACAGCCTGCCAGGCCCTAGAGACGAGGGTTAGGGTCCCCAGCCTGAGGAACCCGAAGCCCAGAGCCACCCCTTGTCCTCCCAGGATGGAAAGCCAGTCAGTCATCTCGGGGTCCCCGGCTCTCAGGCTATTTTTAGCTTCCATCCGTCCCACAGGACACAGAGGCAGCCAAAGCATGTGTCTCAGGAAACACCCTCTCTTCCTCCTCCCTCTTCCCGCCTCCTCCATCTCGTCCCCTCCCTCCTTCCCCTCCCCTCCCCTCCCTCTATCTATTATCTACCCTCTCTTTGCTGTGCAGAGACCCCCACCAGGGACCTTTCAGCCGCTGACTCCGGCAGCCAACCAGAGTGGCCACAGACAGCTAGCTGCTTCCCATCCCACCCCTCCCCTGCCCGCCCCCCACCATCTGAGGGATGTCAGGCCAAGCCCTGGAGGAGTGTGACCTTGGCCTGGGGCCATCAGCACGTGCCTTTCCTCTGCTTGGAACATTCTTCCTAAGACTCCTCCCTCTGCCATTAGTCTGGTTCTCTGTTCACATCCTCCAGAATCTTCCTGGACCCCACAGACAAGGTGGGGCCGCAGAGTCGGTGCTTTACACCTGCTCCGTACCCACAGAATTCCAATCCTGGCCCACCCTTCCCTGCCGGCTGACTTTGGGTGAGTCTCTGAACCTCTGCTGATTTCCTCATTTGAGCAGCTGATGCCAGCAGTCCCAGCCTCAGGAAGTTTGAGAGGGTTGAGTCAGTTACCACAGAAACTGCTAGAACAGTGCCTGGTACAAAGAAGTTATTTGCCATCAGCATTGCTGTTGGTACCGTTACAGTGGTCCGTAGGGTGACCTGCCATCCAGTTTGCCCAGGACTGTCCCAGTCTTGGCGCTTGGAAACACGGGGAACCCCTCTGTTCTGGGCAAACAGAGATGGCTCGTCAGTCTACTGAGCATTTAACTTCCACCCCCACGCAGCTGGAAAGGAAATCTTCCCCACCTGCCTGCCTTCCTGGGAACCTTCACCCATCCACTCATCTCTTTGCTCACCTCCTTTATTCGACAAGCATTTCTTTTTTTTTTATTATTTTTTTTAATTTTTTTTAAAATTTTTTTATTTTATTTTATTTTTTTTTTTTTTCGACAAGCATTTCTTAAGCATCTGCTACAAGGCAGGTCCTCTTCCAGGTGCTGGGAACATAGCAGCCCGGACAGTGGATGGAAACCCATGCCCTCATAGAGCTCGCGTCCCAGAAAGGGCAGCAAACAATAAGCTGGTAAGACTTAATTTAGCATGTGGGGATGGTGCCGAGGAGACCACCGAAGAGAGGGAGAAGGGGCAGCTTTAAATGCAGGTCCTGAAACGAAAGGGGCCCGTGTGAGCTGCCCCAACACGGCTGCTCTCACCTCAAGCGATCCTGCCCCCCCAGGGGACACTGGGCCATGTCTGGGGACATCTCTGCTTGTCACAACTAGGGGTGAGGCTGACATCGAGTGCGTGGGCCCAGGGATGCTGCTCAAACCCCACAGCGCCCAGGACACCCCCCCAGAGAACAGCCTGGGCCCAGTGTCAGCAGTGCCGATGGGGAGAGACTCTGCTCCAACATTATTCTGACCAATTAGTTCCCCTAGAATCCTGCCAGGGCGGGGACTCCATCCGGCCACCTGCACCCTTGGAGGTGATGCAGCGAGAGGCAGCCAGGCCGGGCTGAGACAGGCCCTGGGGATGAAACGACAGGCGTGTGCGCCCATCCACATGGCACTCAGAGCTGGAGAGGTAGTGCCGGCCCCCCACACACTACAGCCTCTGTCACCCGCCTGGGGCTGCTAGCTCTTTGCAGAGTCACCTCTTCTGGCCACAGAAGTTCCCCGGAGTCGACGCTGAGATCAAGGACTCGAGTGCATGTTGATGATTTGAGAGGCGCAGAGAAGAGCCTGGCATGGGGGAAGGTGGGAGACGGAGAGACAGGCGTGCTCTGCCACCAGTGGCCGCAGTGGGACCCCCACCCGTGCACAGGCGCTGGGGATATGCAACCGCAGAGCTCAGCTTGAGCCCACCAGGGATCAGAAGGGCTGGGTGCCCGGAGAGGTGAGTGTGCTTCGTGCCCTGACGTGCACTTAGACATGGCTAAGACGGTAACTACACTTACGTTGGTGAGATTTCATAATGTATATAATTTTCAAATCACCTGTACACCTGAAACTAACACTATAGCATGTTAACTATGCTTCAATAAAAAAATAACATTTACCATCTGAATCATTTAAAAAATTTTTAAACATATTTTATCACAATTATATTTAAAAAGTGGAAGCGAATATAATCATGATAACCAGCTTTGCAGACAAGGATAGGCTTCTGTCCCAGAAATATAGAACCCCCTGAGAACCCTCTCTCGGTATTCCTGTTGTGTCATTTGCTTTGTCCTAGGGTCAGTGAGATCACTCTTGGCAAGAGTGGGTGCACGGATGCATCTGTGTGACAGGGAAGGAGGATCACAAATCTGTATGCCAAGTTAAAGGTCATCCAGCAGATGAAACTTTAAAAAGTGTCCTCATGGAGAAAGATGGACACGATAGGTTGTATTTAAAAGAGCAGGGTGCAGATTAGCATGATGAGCAAGTTCATATTTGTGTTTAAATATATGTATATACGTATATAGGTACGTAAACATGCTTGCAAATACGTTGCTCTGTAGGTTAGCTAGCAGTTTGGACCGAGCCCAGATATTTCTCCTGCTGGTCTTGCCTGGGATTTATTCACATACATGTGGTCATTCAATGGGCCAGTGATAGGCTGGTTGGTCTAAAGGGCTTCAGCTGGACTGGCTCACCTCTACTTTCTGGTCTCATCTTCCAGTAGACGAGCCTTAAGGCGTTCTAATGTCAGTAAGAGGATAAGGATGGAGGCTTCCAGGGGCACCCGCGTGGCTCAGTCTGTTGGGCATCTGAATCTTGGTTTCAGCTCAGGTCATGATCTCAGGGTCCTGAGATCGAGCCCCGAGTCAGGCTCTGTGCTCAGCGTGGAGTCTGCTTAAGACTCTTTCCCTTGGGATCCCTGGGTGGCTCAGTGGTTTAGCGCCTGCCTTTGGCCCAGGGCGTGATCCTGGAGTCCCGGGATCGAGTCCCCACGTCGTGCTCCCGGCATGGAGCCTGCTTCTCCCTCCTTCTGTGTCTCTGCCTCTCTCTCTCTCTATGTCTATCATAAATAAATAAATCTTTAAAAAAAGACTCTTTCACTCTGCCTCTGCGCTCCCCCCTCTGAAGTAAATAAATGAATTAAAAAAAAAAAGAATGGAAGCTTCCAGACCTCTTGAAGTTATTTTGAGAGACTTTAAGGGCACATACTTTCTCTTTTAAAGAGGGTTGGCTTAGGATAGGGTCTAAGCCAGCCCACTTTCTTATTTTTGTAAATAAAGTTTTATTGGAACACAACCATATGCATTCATTTGCACATCAACTACCACTGCTTTTCCACCACCACTGCACAGTTGAGCCAATATATTGACTCCCTGGTCCTTTACAGAAAGTGTGTCAGCCCCTGATATGAGGCACAAGCACTCTTGCCTCTTGGAATCAGCTGCCTTGCCATGCATGCCTACCACGCATGCTTGCAGGGGGCTGGGGCAGAGCACCCCCGTGTCCCCAAATGTAACACCCCCCCCCAATTTTCCTGCACCATTTGGCTCCAGGGGCTGTGGTTTGCTGACCCTCTGGTTTAGGTTATGGGAGCTCAAAGCACAGTAAACAGTGGATTACCTCCCCATCCTTCACCCCATGCAGAATCCCAGCCCTCCATCTCTGTAACAAGTATTTTCTTCTAGTGGAAATTTAGCTCATGACCATTTCCACTACACTGATGGCTTTTATGACACACCCCACAAGGCCCACAAATAGTTTTTTTTTTTTTCTCATGGTAAAGACCAACAAGCACAGGATAACATCTGATTGCCAGATGCTCTGGGAAATCTCGGTGAATTCACCAAATTTTCCCCAGCAGGGAAATGGTGAAGCTGCCAGCTGGTGGGGGCCCACTTTAAAGTGAGAAGTAGCAGCAGTAATAGGAGAGAACAGATTCCTTCTGCTCCAGGATCCGGGTCCCTGTACCTCGGAAGCCCAGGGTTTTCTGAGTTCCCTGCAATAAGACTGTTTCACAACTCAACCATTTCCAATTATTGAGCACTGACTGTATGCCTGGGCTAAGCCAAGCTCTCTATACACAATCTCACGTGATCTGCAAGGACCCCAGGGGGGCGATATTCTTTTTGTATCAGTTTCCTATGGATGCTGTAGCCAAGAACCACAAACTAAAACAACACAAATTGGGCAGCCCCGGTGGCACAGTGGTTTAGCGCCTCCTGCAGCCTGGGTTGTGATCCTGGAGACCCAGGATCGAGTCCCACATCGGGCTCCCTGCGTGGAGCCTGCTTCTCCCTCTGCCTGGGTCTCTGCCTCTCTCTTCGCTCTCTCTGAATGAATAAATAAATAAACCTTTAAAAAAATAAAACAACACAAATTTACTGTCTTACATACATTGTATCTCTGGAGTACTCTGAGTAAAGCATCAGGCTAAAACCAAGGTGTGGGCAGAGCTTTGCTCCATTCTGGAGGTCTAGGGGGAGGATTCATCTTGCCTTTTGCAGCTTCTAGAAGCCACCTGCATTCCTTGCCTCATGGCCCTTCCTCATCTCCAGGGCCAGCAGCAGCTCCAGCTGCTACTTCCCTGACCATCTTCCACTTTTAAGGAGCCTTATGATTACCTTGAGTCCACCCAGACAATCCAGGATAAACTCTCATTTTAAGGCTAGCTTGTTCACAACTTCAATTCCATCCACAACCTTAGCTCCTTTTGCCATGTGACCTAACGTTTCCATAAGTCCTGGCGATTAGGAGGTGGACATCTCTGAGAGACATCCACTTTGCAGGTGAAAAAAAAAAAAAAAAACCACTCAGGCTTGGATGGGTTTAGGGATTACCCGAGTCACAAGCAGCTAGTCATGGTTGAGCTGGGTTGGTCTAACTCCAGAGCCCAGCCTGTTAACCAGAGCTGCGACATGCAGGATGCCAAGCGCCTGTGGGCAGGAGGAAGGCAATGCAGAACTGAATATAGGATTCAGAAAAGCAGGAACCCAGTTTCTCACTAAGGCAGATCTACTGGAGAGTTCTCCACCCCCCAATAAAGTTCCTGGGATCTGAGGTTACATCTCTCTCACCCACTTTAGTCCAGGCTCCTGCATCCCTGCTCCGCCCCCCCCTCCCCCGCCGGCCGGGCCCCTCCACACACACTCTGGCTGGATTTGGCCCTTTAGCCTTTTCTGGGCAGCTTAGAGCTCTCCATGGTACTGAAACACTCCCCCCATGCCCTCCCCCCCCCGCCCCCCACCGCTTCCCTTTCACAGCCAGGGGGTTGGGACTCTGCTGTTCTAACTCCTACTTCGTCTTGCTAACTACACCCCAGGACTCCGTTTTTTTCCAGGTCCTTACTGGGCCTCCAGTTGGGGGGTGGCTTAGGGGAGGTAGTTCTAGGGCAGTCCAAGAGCTTAGAGCTTCCCTGGAACCTCTAAATATTTTCACACTTGGAGAGTCCCAACGGATGAGCAGTAAGCAGATCTGTGATTGAGGAGAGCCCTCCCTTTACTGACATATCTCTTAGGAATTATGCAAAATCATTCCTGGACAACCTCAAGTGTCCAAGTTTTGGCCTCTAAATATTATACCAGTTGTTTTGAGCATGCTGATTCAAAACAAAGGACAAACAAACAAACCAAAAAAGAAACTGTATTCTGTTATTTTGACCACGTGGCAGCCTCCAGAAGCCATCTATCTGGTCAAGCACATAGGATTCTTGGAGTCTGCTGGTGCTGCTGTTGCTGCTGGTTTTAATTGTGGCAAAATACACATAACATAAAATTTGCCATTTTTAAGTTTACATTTTGGTGGTATTAAGAACATTTGCAGTGTTGTGTAACACCACCATCTATCTCCAAAACTTTTCATCATCTCAAGCTGAAATTCTGTCCCCATTAAACACTTACCTCCCCCAACCTTTGGCTCCCACCACCTACTTCCTGACTCCAGGACTTTCCCCAATTCTATGTCATTTTTGGTTCCAGGATCCCATCCAGGGGACTGCATGATATTAGTGGTCATGTCTTCTTGAGCTCTTCTTGGCTGAGGCAGTTGCTCAGATTTTCCTGTTTTTTTTTTAAGATTTTATTTATTTATTCATGAGAGACACAGACAGAGAGAGGCAGTCACAGGCAGTGGGAGAAGCAGGCTCCCTGTGGGGAGCCCAATGTGGGACTCAATCCCAGGACCCCGGGATTACAACCTGAGCCAAAGGCAGACGCTCAACCACTGAGCCACCCAGGTGCCCGATTTTCTTGGTATTTTTTTGTTTTTGTTTCTGTTTTTTAATGACCTTGACAGTTTTGAGGAGTGCTGATCAGGCATCTTGTACAATGTTTCTGAACTGGGGCCTGTCTGCTGTTCTTCTTATGATTGGACTGCAGTTATAGGTTAGCGAAGAAGATGACAGAGGTGAAGGGTCATCCCATATTAAGGGTCCATTCTAGGGGATCCCTGGGTGGCTCATCGGTTTCGCACCTGCCTTTGGCCCAGGGCGTGATCCTGGAGTCCCGGGATCGAGTCCCGCGTCGGGCTCCCGGCATGGAGCCTGCTTCTCCCTCTGCCTGTGTCTCTGCCTCTCTCTCTCTCTCTCTCTCTCTCTCTCTCTCTCTCTCTCTCTCTATGTCTATCATAAATAAATAAAAATAAATCTTAAAAAAAATAAGGGTCCATTCTATCAATATGACTTATCACTGGTGATCTTGATCACCGGGTTGAGGTGTGTTTGTCAGATGTCTCCACTATAAGTTATTCTCCCCTCACCTCTTTCCATTTGTTTCCAAGCTGTTATGCATGCCTCACATTTATAAGTTGGAAATTATGCTCCCTCTCCTTGAGGGTTGAGTATTTATGGGAATTGTTTTAGAATTTTTCTTCCTGGGAGGTCTATTTTGCCACTAATTTCTTTAATCACTTATTTACATCAATATGGATTCATAGATATTTATGTTATAATTGAGTTTAATCCAACCTGGCTGTATTTCACTACAAAAATTGTTTCAGCTTTGGGCACTGGGCTTTCAGTTGGTTCCTGCGTCCTGTTGACATAACCCCATCTTTGTAGTGGATTTGTTTAAACACTGACTTCCTGGTACTACAAGATGCTCCACGCTCATGTTGTGTATTTCCTCA